AAATAACTTGCTCACATTGCTAGCAGATCAGTTAGATTGACCCACCAAATAATATAAATGTCGTCACTCTAGATTGCTACGAAGTTATCCCTATGTGTGGGTGTGGATAATGTTTTCCCCCAGCTTGTAGGCGTAAAAAACGGGCTGGAATATACCCCGCCACCCGCAAGATGCCCTGCTGATCCTCTGTGGTGTAGTCACTGGGCTCGGGTGGGGAGAGGGGCGCGCACTCCCCCCATCCTGGTTTGTTTGTTTTTATTGGCCTGTTAACAGATGTTGACGTGGTTCAGGGCACAAGGCACACATGTGTTTTTAAATGGACAGATCGTAAGCACCGGGCTCGACAATGAAGCGGGGAGCTGCGGGGGATTGTTTGGGGCTAGGACAAGGTTCTCCTGGCTTTGTGTGTGCGGCCGGCTTCAGAAAGGAAAAAGGATTGATTAATCTGTACATTCTGACATCCTTAGCGAGCACCATGAGCCAGAAGAGAATAGCATGACCCATGTTGTGCGGAAAGGCAGTTTAAGTGGTGGAAAGTTGAAAGAGGGTTAGCCTCCTCTTCCAGCAGCCGAGGCGAGTGTCTGCTTCATGGTCCGCTATTGAAGTGCAGCATATGTGCCTCTGTTTGACAAAGACTCCCTCCATCCCAAGGCAGCCCTCGGCCGGTGCACTGATCTAGAGCAAAGGGCCGCGGTAATGAGGGACAGGCCTCTCAGGCAGCAGAGAGGAGATAATACCCCATAAGCGGAGAATTCTGTGGAGTGTTCTTGCCATTCAACATAATGCAAGGCGCTACCCTGGCGAATCGCTTGCCATCCTGCTGAAATGGGCCATTAGGTATCGAGGAAAATTGTCTTTTGCTACTTTCAGCAGATGGAGCAAATATTTTACAAAGCCATTTTACATACAAAAACCATTTGCATGACTTGGTAATGGCAGCTGTTTTACATGATGTTACCTTCCAAAAGAATGTCTCTCATGAAAGGCAAAATCGGGACTTTTTAATTTTAAAATTTGCAGTAGCACACTCAAGCGTTCGGCCCTAAAAGCGGCATTTGAATTCTAAGTAAGTGTGGCAGGCGATTGATTGCTTCCAAAAATATTTCCAGCATTTCTGTTCTTTTGAATAGTTTGCAGCTCCAGAGAGTAACAAAACAAAACGCAAAAAAATTAACAGCAAATCTGAAGTACTTGCTAAGCATTGGATGGCGCGTATGCAGACAGAAAGGGGGGAACCCACCATTGTTGGCATTTTAGTCTGCCCACAAGTTTAGGAAGCCTTTTCTTAAACCTGGCGGCTCAAACTGTGGGGAGCTCAACTTTGATTCTGGGGGCTTTTAAAATCAAAAATGAAAACAAAGTATTTGTTCATTCAGGCTAGCATGTCAAGTCACCTTTGCTGAGCTGGAAAGGTGTGGGCCTTCAGCCAGACAGGTGACCACATGTGGAAGTGGAGCAGGGCATTGGACTTCCAATTCTACTTCTGTTCCATTCTATTTCCTGGGTTTCTTAAACAGTGGGAGGGACTCTGAAAATGGAAGGTGAAAATCTACCCTCTGTCTCCACTTTGTCCTTCCAGTGAAGGAGACTTTGCCTGTGAATAGTTGGGCTGCACTTTTGTTTTTTCGCACAGCACATGAGCACTGTCTTCCAAGGACCTTCCAAGGGCAGCATACCTGAGTCTTCCCTTTCTATCCTCCTAATGCCCCTTTAAGGTGGGGTGAGAGGTGCTGACTGACTCAGGAGTTTCATAGTAGAGCAGGAATTTGAGCCTGGACCGGCTGGCCCAAGTCCAACACTCTGGTGTCTATAATAAATGTGTTTTTCTCATAGGAGGAGACAGCAGGTCAGTTAGGATCCCTAGGAAAAGGAATGGGCTTCCAAGGGAGGTGGTTGAGGCCCCATCAGTGCAGGTGTTCAAGGCTAGGTTGGACGACCACATGTTGAGGATTGCATGAGTGGAGCTGGCTGGAGCTGGGGGTCAGACTAGATGGCTCAGGGGTGCCCTTCTGACTCACTTTGTTCCTGTGTGGTACTGCAATTAAATCCGCCTTTGTGACCGATGTGCCATATGATGTACTGCAAGAATCTGATTTTTTTTTTTTAAATAGAAACGAACGTATGCACTGGGACCCAGCCCAGTGTGACTAGATGGAATCGCTGTGCCTAGTTCAATGAAAATGCAGCCAAAACAACTGAATGGTGCATATTGATTGGTAAACAGAGCATCTCGCTAGCATTAATCAATGAAGAGAAAATTTCTGTGGACCAAGCAATCCTTCCCCACCCCCCATATGGGAAATCATTAGTTCTCACTTGTTCTCAAATTAGTTATACATGAAAGAAAAGCACAAGCCATTCATTCTTCCTCCTCTTGTCTATATGGTACTTGTTGGCCAGTTCAATGCTGCTGCATTGGCCTTGGAATCTATATCCTATTAGTGAACCTACCTCAGTGTACAGATAACCCTGCATGGTTGCCCATAGTAACTGCTGGCCTTCATGATGCCTACGGCAGCTGCAGGCTTTCTGTATGCATGATTCTTCCTCAAGTGTGTAATGCTGTGAACCCTCCGTGAAGGATATTAGGAGGGTGAGTACCCGGAGGAGGGCTTTCTCTGTGGTGGCGCCCCATCTATGGAATGCACTCCCCAGAGAGGTCCGCCTGGCGCCGTCCTTATTTGTTTTTCGGCACCAGACCAAGACCTTTTTGTTTAAAACTTATTTTAATTGTTAAATTATTTGTATTTATAGGATTTTAAATTTTTAGCCAAGATGCACCGGGGGTTTCTAAATAAATTTTTTATTGTTATATTGTTATTATTTATGTATTTTGTTTCTGTTGTGAGCCGCCCTGAGGCTTCGTTGCGATGGGGCGGCATAAAAATGGTTTAAATAAATAAATAGATAGCAATGTTAGCATTCCTCATGTTCCCTGTCAGTTTGCCTGGCCTGCAAAGTCAGCAGCGTTCCTGTCGTGTCCCCCCACCCTGCTCCCAACCCCCATCTCAGATATTTAAGCAAGCAGACAGGCTGCCTTCTGGCTACTGTGCTGGCTACTGGGATCCGAAGTCCCCAAAAAACTACTCCAGCTACATGGTATAGGGAAAAGTAGTTTGTTCACAGATGGAGGTTCAATGATACTCAAAATCTGTGCTCAGAATTCACAGACTTGCATTTGACAGCAGAGCAGTTCAACTAGGCAGTGTGTGGTTCTGAAAAGAGACAGCTGATGTAGCGAATTTTTTGACATGAGACATGTATCTGCATTTGTGCTTTATGGGTTCTTTACATGATATGATGACACTCCATGGTTGCTTCTGTTTTTATATCATTTCTTCAAGGATTTTTAGGGCAGGAGTAAGGAGGTATAATTTGTGCAAGTGAAACAAAACACATTTCGCCCCTTGTGTAATTGCTTTTTTTTTTTTTTGCTATGCCACAGTGCCGCCTAAAGGTAATATAGCAGAAAAGGAAAGGAAGCATTCTTTGTGTAGAGTGCAGCTCTTGGTTTTGCAAGGAAGCCAGAAGGAGCTACAGTGCTGGTGTAGAAAGCTTATGCCCTGTATCAGACACACTGTGTGCCCCAACAAAGCATTTAAAATGGAGAGAATCCCATATCTACCAAGGGAAGAAATGGGTGCGATGCTTCAATAGCCCATTTCCAGTCAAGAGGAAAAGGAATAGATTTCCAGAACGGTTGTGTACAGTGGGCAATTGGTCCTCTCCTGGAGCATGGGACATTTCCAATTTCAAAGGGTCATGAAGCAGAAGGAAAGAGGCCCGAGGGAAGAGATGACGTGTTCGTGAAGGAGCGAGAGTGGAGCAACCTGGAGTTTAATCTGCGGAGTGCCTGCACACAGTGTGCTTGTTCAGTTCTCAGTCCTTTCGGCGCGGTAGTGACAGACAGAAAATTCACCATTTTTGTGTGTATGAATGTAATACTCTAGTGTAACAGCTCAGCTGAAACGGCATTTCGCTACAGGACATGTAGGGGGAAGGTGGTGACGGGCGTCCGGCTGTCCCTCTGCCCACTGTTAAGATGACTGCAAGGTGAGAAAAGCCTGTCCCACCTTCAGCGGCTAACAGTGGGCACAGGCAGGCCACTTCTGATCGCACTCTAGATGGGGATGGGTCAAGATGGCTAATGACCGGTGAGCCAGCCCTGAAAGGAAGAAAACCGTCTGGTGGGCCTTGCTGGTCCCCCAGGAGCAGGTCGCTCTCGGTTGGGTGTGATTGCTTCTGTGAAGAGCTGATCCACCGGACCTTGTCCCTAGCCGAGCCGTCCGTCAGGGCTAAAGTCCCTAACAGCAGTGGCCTTGAGGCTGAGAATGGGTTTTTAGAACCTGCGCTGTTGTCGTAAGCAGCTGTAGGCAGTTTGGGGCCATCCTGCGGACACTGTCCCCACTATCGCCCTCCTTGTCTTGTCCTTAGATGCTGTATGATGTGCGTTGATTTGGGACGATGGCTTTGTTATCTGAGCCACGGTCAAAGGACACAGCAGTGGCCAGAAGGGTGGCCTGTGCAGATTCAGAGCCAGATGGGCTCTCTGAAGAGGGCCGGTCGCCAAACCAGGGGCTCTGGCCAAACGCATCCTTGCTAGCCAGAGAGCCATCCTTGGCAAGCCCCAGGGTAGGGCAGGGAATGCCTCTAATTGAAGGATCTTTAAAAGGGCTATTAGAGCGATTGTGAGCGGTGCTAAACCAAAGCTGGATTGTTCTGAACTGTCACCTTCCCTTTAAAAAGAAATCCACTTTTTGCTTAGAGGAATGACTAATGGGAGACGTGGTCAAAAGAAATATGCCTTTCAGGGGAAACATGCGCAGATACATGAAAGAGGAGGGAGGAAAAAGATAAGGGAAACATTTAAAAAAGACTTTCTGGCTGTGGTTAAACAGTAACCACAATGCCTGTTGGAGGCCTGGTTTTTAATCACCCCACAAGCAGTTTTCATTTCTGCAGTAAAATTGCTTGTGGTTCTATTTAATTTGTTTCTGCAGGAACCGGCTTTGGCGAAGATCTCCCAGGAGCTGCCGGGCCTTTTAGCACAGCACGCACAGGCTGTCAATGAGAAACGATTTCCTACATGGGGAAAATTCCTCCAAATGTTTGTGAGTCAAGGTAAATAAGACTGCTAAGTTCCCGCTAAGTGCTATAAGGGATAATTATATCACCAGCACTTTGCTCTCATTCACTGGGATGTTCCTCCACTCGCTTTCATTTCCTTGTTATAGTTTTTCACTGTTTAAGAATGAAATACAGGCAGCCATCTTTGATCTTGCCAAGTTTGGGCAAGCTTGCTCAGTTGCTGAGAAAGGTTATTTATGAAACTACCTCCTTTAGGCCTCCTTTCTGACCAGAGATGTTAAGGGTGGGTAAATCCCCCCAATCTACCTTCCCCCCGCTAGATTTCATAGAGAAGCAAAAGCGTGGCTGGGCTCGTAGGGCTGGCAACACCGTCTGGGAAGAAGCTTTGTGCACTAGAGCCCCCCCCCCCCCCCAAGGCTTTTGGAATCGCATCAGTGGAAAGCAGTACTGGTGACATCCGTGTGTTTTGAGGCTTTTCCAAGGGTAACACATGTGCTTCTAATAAAGGTATGTCCACATCCCGGACACTGGAGTTTTGTAGTCGGGTGAACACAGCATGAAAATAAGTATGCGTTCCACTTATTTTTCAGTATTCTCCATCTTTTCATTAACAGTTCAGCTTTGGCTGGTCTGATGCAGTAAGGAGAAGCAGCTGTGCCGATCGTTGATGCTTCCTGCTCTGCCTTCCTAAAATTCTGTATAGTCCTTTTCTCAGCCTTCTGGAAATTTATTCAGACATTCTCAGTTACTGGAGGCAACTTTGTAGCCGTAAGAATTAAGCACTGGAAGCTGAGCTTCCCATGTTATCACATTCCTCCTAGGAAGGCCTTTTGGCAGTTCTAGACAGCATATAAATACGTGCGTGCATGCATGAATGGATAAATAAATTAATAAATTCCATGCCAGCACATGCAATCGTGGGAAAGCTTGGAAAAGTCCAGAAAAGGGCCACCAAAACAATCCCGTGACTGCAGCAACCTATGTATGAGGAAAAGTGATAGCACTCAAGGCTCTTTAGCTTAGTAAAAGGTAAACAAGGGGGAATCTGACTGAGATGTACAGAATTATGTATGGTATCGAGAAAGTGGGTAAGGAAGAAGTTTGTCTCCCTCTGTCATAATATTGGAGCCCTCTCGAAAAGGAACAGTGTGAGGTTCAGAGAAGCAGTACCTGTCCACGCAGCACCTAGCTGAACTGTGGCATCCCCTTCCCTCAGGTGTAGAGATGGTCCCCACCTTGGACAGCTTTAAAGAGAGATTAGACCAATGAAGGAACGGAAAGGTAGGCAGTGGGTGCTAGTATGGCGCGCTGCGGATGAGCTCCGGCCTGTCGCTGAATTCCTGGGAAGCACGCAGGAGGTGCCGTTGCACTCTTGTACGGTCCGGTGGGACGGTACGGCTGGGCTGGGCAGGTCCGATCCTGCACTGCGCTTCTTTGGTCAAGCGCAGCTTAGCTGGCTTTCGGCGTCATGTTTATGCCAGTCCTCATGGGCGGGGCTTTGTGCATCCCAGCATATCTTCGGGGTTGCTTGGATCTCGTGATGACTGCTTCATGCGCAAAAGAGTCATTTTCCCATGTACGAACCTTTCACAATGAACAAGCCCTTCCGAGTTGTCCCAAAGGCTACCAAATGGGTCTCCTCATAACCATAGCCACAAATTGAAACCCAGTCAAAGTCCTTTTTAGGACTTAGAAAGGGGGCCTTCCATAATACCTACCGTGTTTAAATTTATTTTATGTGGAGAAACCAGTTCATCCTTGGATGTTGGTATAATAGCGATTAAAATATGAGGAAAAGCCTGGTGCCTCGAGGGGCAGATGCTTCAGTCCCACAGCCCGTGGGCTGCACATTCTAGGGGTGACAGTGATGTCTTTTTTCTAACTAGGAGGAGTCATAGAAGCCTTCCCACCCTCCGAAAACGTCACTAATCTCACAGTGGATATGCTAATAGACCCAGCAGGAGGGATCACAATGGTGTCCTGTGGAGACCAGTTCCATGCCAGCAGCCCTTTGCGGTCGTCAGGAGCCACCTTTCCTCAGTGCTCCGTTGAGCCGCAGCTTCTTGACGCGCTGTGCTCCAAGATCGGGGAGGCCTGCAAATCCAGGGCCGTGGTTGGCTACTTCTCCATCGACTTCGCCACCTTCATCCACCCACAAACGATGGGGCAGCAGGTGAAGCAGATCTTAAGTTCCTATAGTGTTCTTGGGAGTGCTGTGTCGTGAGAGTGTGATTTCAAGGGGAGGAGGGAAGAGGGTTCTCTGTCCTTCCTTTCTCACAGTCCAGATGAGAGGCAAGTGGACACTGCGCCTCAGAAAATGTGCCATACTAAGGGTACAGAGTGGGTGACCGTATGCGGCAAGGTGGCGCTTCATGAGGCCCATTGGACTTGGATAGGTGAAGCCCAGGCAGGAAGGGTTGGCATGTTGAAATAAGGTGCTCTGTGGAAAGTGATGGCCTGTGTTTAAAAATAAATGTCCTTGTCCTTAGGATTGCCAAGAAAACGTTGAGAACTTGTGGGCTAGTGGTTGGAAACCTCTTTGGAAAGGGACTCGGGGGGCTGCTTGCAGCAATGAGTGGGTCAAAGTGAAGTCAAATTTTATGCACGTCGAATCAGAGGCAAGCCGCAGCATAATGGCTTTCAAGCATGCCAACCACAGCTGAATTTCTGCTGAAATCTTCAACAAAACAAAATGGAAGGATCAGGCTGCATTTGTGCTGGATGTCCTTCACTACCTCTTTCTCCTTAGCATCTCTGGCCCCAGACTTAGCCAAACTGTTTCAATTCCTGGAAAGCTGGAATTGTTTGGGGATAATACAGGATAAGATTTTCTCAGAATGGGGAATTTGGGGGGCAGCCATGTGGAGCAGAACTAACTAGTAAATGATAGGCTGGCTGTGACCCCAAGGTACAAAGATGCAACTGTGTGCTCATTTTGTTAGGGCTTTGCCTCTTGGAGAGGCAAACAGTGAGTGCCTTTTGGCTAGCGATGGCCCCGTCCCAAGAGCCCCTCGTGTTCTCGTATTCCTCCCAAAAAAGCAATGATCCCAGTTTCTCTGTCTTTTTATTGTCTGCATTGGCCCCTCGTTTTCCCTTTTTACCCTGTTGTCGTACCTTGCAGTTTCTTAGCTAGTGCCACAACTTTAGCATTACTTAAGCCGAGTTTTTTCCCCAACTTAATTAGATATAGAGGCAATTAATGATGCCATCTGTCTTGTTGTGTGTGAGAGAGATTACACCAAAGATTGTGCTTCTGAAAGCATTATTTTTTTGGCAAACTAGAAATCCTATTAGACTTGTTCGAACACTCTCACACTAATTTCCCAGCTCCCATTTTAGATCAGTAGCTGAAAGGCTCAAATAAATTCTCCAGAACTACTGTACGCTCAGGCATCCTTTCGGAAATATATGTTACAGAAAATAACCAATGATCTACGCTTGTTTTGCTAAACCTAAAAATTAAATATATCGTTAAACATCTGCTACCAGTACAGTCAAACAGTAGTTAAATATCTTAAAATCTGAAAAACCATCATAGTGGTATGAATCCTTTGCATAAACACAGATGTTCAGGCGACATAACATGGCCACAATTTCACTAGGTGCTGAAATCTTGAGCCATTTTGTGTACATGAGAAACGATGGCATCTTCAGCCGGCTTGGTTTAATTTTGCAAATGCTTGCTCAGGATGTTAATATTATCTGAGACAGCACCAGTGAACCACCTCAGGGGTGACCTCAGGTTTTAAGGGACCCTGGGAAGAAACCAGGCGTGGATTTCCTTAAACAGCCGAATCAGGATGGTGGGACACAAGCTGGGAGAGCACCCAACAGCCCTGGTGGCGACTCCCGCAAGCCAAGCCCCACGCTACGTCTTCTTTCCTTTCTGGTTCTCTGTGGAGTAACTGAAGACAGCAGAACTGTCCACTAGGACACGGCTGTCCAGGAATAGTTACTTTGATGGCCTTGGCTGGTCCCTGTCACTCTCAGGGCCCCTGGCTTGCCATCCTCAGGAGTTCCTCAGGAAGCAGCTACGTGGGACTTCCAAGGTACACGCTCCGCCTTTACACCAGGAGGTCCGCCTCTGGTGCAGACACAGTGTATTGGGTGGGTGAGTGGACTCATTGCACTCCCTGCGTGTGGGAGTGGCGAGGGAAAATGGCAGCCTGCAAAAAGGATCCAGAAGCCACACTGGGAGTGGAGGGCGAGTGGAATTGCGCGTGTGTTCAAGTGGCTGCACTCACACTCTGCCGGTGCGCACCAAACCCTTAAGTTTTTCGCACAGTTAGGACCTGGTTCACACATTGGTTTAGGCAGTGCGGCTTCCTCCCTGCTTTGTTTTCCTCTGCCTGGTTGGGGTGGATCCGTGCCAAAGGACACGTAAACCCAGGCTTTGTTTCATGCAAATGGGCCCCTAGAGTGGATCTGCTCAGGAGAAAGGTCTCCGCCAGCATTCTCTCTCTCTCTCTCTGTGTGCGTGTGCGCGCGCAGGGGGCACATTCCTGGCCTACGGGGTTATTGGTTGCCAGTCTAATGGGGTCAGTGGGAAGCAGTGCACTCCCGGAAAGGGCCACCTTCTGGAAGCCACAACCAGGATGGGGAGGGCCAAAGGCAGTTGATGCCCTGGATGAGCGGGAAATTGAGTCTCGAAGGTCTGCTGCTGCGTGCTGTCAAGTCATCCCTGACTTATGGCGACCCCATGGATGAAAGCCCTCCGAAATGTCCTGCCCTCGGCAGCCATGCTCGGCCCTTCCGAACTCACGGCTGCAGCTGACTTTATGGAGCCCGTCCATCTCCTGGTTGGACTCCCTTTTCTTCTTCCACCTTCAACTTTCCCTAGCAGGATTGTCTTCTTCGGGGTGTTGTGCCCTCAAAAGCAGCAGATGAAGAGCAGGAGCACCAGAGGGAAGTCATGTTGTGAACAGAGAGGTCAAGTGGCAAAAGAGAACAGGGCCTACTCAGACCCAGTTCAAGGTACACCTTACCCCAGTAGGTTTGGTTTCTGTGTAAGTACTGCTGGTGCAGACAGCGTGGACTGGGAGATATGAAAACAAATCAGGATTCTTGGTGGCTCAGGCAAGGAACCTGCCGTGGCTGAATGCTGCAGACTTCCCTGTGTGCAGAGGGATCCGCCGTGGTCGAGGTGCACCCACAGGCTGGCTCCTCCCTTGGCCATTGCCGCAATTGTATGCATGCCGCTTAATGGTCCCTTTGGTTTTTCCAGCTGTGCAAGCAGGGCAAGAGCCATGTGCTTCTGAGCCTTCGAGAAGAGTGGGACTGAAGCTATTCACGCCTTGCGCATCGTAGCCTGGGTGGGCATTAGGACCCATTTGAAAATCCCAGGGCAGCGATTCAATCAACAACAGTCCCGACTCTGGGTGTTTTCTGGAGATTAACAATCAGCTTGGAAGAGGCAATGACCCAGCTCAAAGCAATGGGTACTCTCATGGGTGCTCTCATTGCACTTGCCAGCAATTAAAACCCACTCCATTGGCCAGTCAGCTCCCAAGACCTGAATACATATGACTGATGCTGAAGTTTATTGCAAAAAAGATTTTCATCCTGTATGGTGTGAGAAATATCTGGTGTGTGAGCTGGATTCTGAAAAGGAAGAACTTACCGTAACTCAAGAACTTACCGTAAATCTATGTTGACTACCAGAGCGCACTAAATAATTTCAGAAGAAGATCAGTCTGTGCTTATGGACTACAGCAAAGCCTTTCACTGTATGGTTTGTGAGAAGCTCCAGAAGGTTCTGAAAGAATTGCGGACACCTCAGCTCTTGATTTGATGCGTATCATGGGCAAGAACTTACTGTTAGGGCAGAGTAAGGCGAAACAGTTTTCTTTAGGAAAAGGTGTCAGACAAAGGTGTATTTTATCTTCCGTCTGTTCAATCTGTATGCAGAACATAAGGAAAGCAGGATTAGGGTCAGGAGTGAAGTTGATACCATATTGCCAAAAGAAGAAAGTGCAAAAGCTGAACTGCAGCTAGACATGAAGAAAACAAAAATCATGGTAACAGAAGAATTCCATATGCAATGTGTTTTCAGATGATTTTCCAAACAAATGATCTATGACTAATTTGCTGAGGAAAAAGGCTGTCCGCAATGGGTAGTATATTAACACCCATAAGCCATTTTCCCCATGGGCTGCCATTAGTGATTGCTTACAGTTTGTGGTACAACAGACCAGCAGCAGTGGATATGAATGTTGCATTGGAATCATGGAAATACCTACCTGAATCTGCGGTTTCATTGATCAAATGCTAGACAGACAATGTAAGAAAGCATATCTGAATTAGTTTACCAAACAGTTTAGTCTAGAAACTGTCCAAATATTCCATTGACAAGAATAATGTATTTGCCTGAGAGAAGCTGAACTGGTAAATACAAATACTGGTTTTGTACACATCACTGTACTTATGAAAGAGATTTCAAAAAGGTTGAATGCACTCGACAATAACAAAGCCAAAGGAAGAAAATTGGCATCTTAAGCGAAAGCAGCAAACACTTCTTTAAGAAAGAAAATGGAAACCTCCTTGATAAGGAGGAGGCCTTTAAGGCCTTTAAATGCTGTTTTTGCTTGCTTGTCAAGATCTATATTCTCAGGCCTTGGTTTTATAAGCACTTAGTTTTTCACAAGTGCTATAAAGGCGGAAGTTGGGTCTACTGAGAAAAAAGAGTGTGATGGAAGTCATTTGTGGAAACAGAACCTTTTGTAAAACATATAAACCTTTATTATGTACATATCTCTGGTGGGATGCAGCCGGCTCCAAAGGAATGCCTCCAAATATCACCGGTGACTTCCGCACTGTTTGGGGAAGGTGTAACAGGCGAGCAGCGACTTTTAGCAGCACAAAGTGATTCCAGCTGGAGCTTTTCCTATCATCTCCAGTATAATCTACCAAGCACTTTCTTAGGTTTGAAGTGGTGGGGTTGGTACAGTCCCATGGGAATTTCTCTTGGGCAGGAGCTGCCATGGAAAGGAGCTGTGTGAAGAGCACGGAGGGGCTGAGTAGAGCTGGAACTGGGGAGCATCCTGGCAGCTGGGCAGACATGTCTCAGAACAGTGCTTTTTAAAGAAAATACTGTGAGAATTTGGGGATCATAACTGTACAGACTGACGCCTCATCCAGGTGGTTGCCCAAGCATGTGAGGGTTTGAGGTGAGGA